AAAGTTAGTTAGTTTCCCATATATATAAACTTACTTTGTCTGTCATTTCCAATTGTTTCATAACCAATATAACCTAACAATAATAAAACAGCATTATAGGATATTTTCAAAAAAACTTCAATGCAGAAGGGTTTGCTTTCAATAAATAACTTTTGTGACATAAATTATTAATAAAATTATTATTATTTATAAAATTATAAAAAATAATATTTAGTAGATACACGTTTTGTTTTCATATAAATTGAAATGCAGTATCTTTACATCTTTACATGTATGTCTGTGCATTAAGCAGACATCCGTTAAAGTTCTGAAATACAACTATGATTTTTGTCGTAAAACTAAGAAATTGGTTATATTATCAATTCTTGTTACACAATAAATATTACTGGTCACTTTATACAAGCTGACCCAGTGTTGCCAGTGATAACATATGAAAAAACATGGTCTCATACTCTATGTGAAAACTCCAAGTCGCCCACATTTACTATGATCTAAATTTCTCTTGAGAGGCTTTGAGTATTTTTAATTTTTTTTTTAATAGTAGGATACAAATTGCTACATCTTATCATTATATCTCGCTAGCGTATACCAATAGCGCAGGCAGGGTTGCCATTCCATTTTCATCTCATAAAAAAGCTTTTGTAGCATTACCTTATTTTTATGTCACAACTCGGAGTGACATTTTTTCCTTTTTCTTTCATTGTTCCTTTTTCTTTCATTTTTCCTTTTTCTTTCATTTTTCCTTATCAGCCGTCTTTTCTGAGTTCACTTACTTTCTGCTCATATTACCCTTCAACCTATCCAATTTTGTTATTATTTTTTACCATAATACTTCTACTCGTACAGTACTATTATCTAAAAAAAAAACAATAAATATGAGTAGCAGTCTATAGTATTATTTTCGAAGAATATTGTACACTAGGTGATAGGTATAGAACGAATGTAGAGTAGGTGAGGATGAATGTAGGTCAGTTGGCCCACCATGACGAATTCAACAAGAATTAATGATGCATATACCATGATGGACTACAGGGGGGACTACGTTGAAGTTGATCTGATAGGGTAAACTGTTAATTATGGGTCTGTTACCCCCTATAACTAACTATCCTTTTGCAAAGATGCTTTATTTTTATAGGTGAAAATAGAATGGTAACCCCGCCTGCGCTAACAATATACGCTGGCGGTGCACCAGTGAAGGGTTATCGATGAAAATGAAAACAAGCCAGTTAGCTCATCATGATGAATTCATCAGGAATTAACCATGATAGTTTCTAGGAGGAACCGCATGGAGGTCGACCTGGTTAGGTATATTGCTAGCAATGGGGTTCTTAGTCTCTATTACTAATAATCCCTTTCCCCCTTGCAAAGATTCTAGGACCTACAACGTTACTACGGTAATTACATAACGTAAAGCGAACATGTGACAGATTCTAAATCAATATTATAAATTATTATTATTATTTCAGCCTTTAATTTCCACTTCCACTGATGGACATAAGCCGTCTCCATAAGAGAAGTTTTGCCAGTAGTTACCACGCTTGGCAAGTGGGTTGGCAACCGTAGTTAGAGTTTTAGTGATGTTTTAAGAAGGGTTTTGCTACCCATCCCTTGCCCTCTCTTAATCGCCTCTTACGAGACCACGGGAAAAGAAGGGGTGGCCTATTCTACGCCGGGACCACACGGCAATATTATAAATATTATATATAAATACCTAAAGAAATTTGTAATATTGTAATGTTTATATTAAGTAATAATACATACATATGCATATAAATATTTATACCTACTAGGAAATTTCCAGTACCATTATGTCAATATTCTTTAGGGAAACTTGTTACCAAGAAATGGTGACAGATATTGTGTAGATATTCGATTGTTTCTTTATAACTTAAATACGTATGTTTAGACGAAATTACATATTAAAAATTTCCATTGAGGAATAATAAAGTACAAATTATGTTTATTCAAACAAACTAGGTGTGAAAATAGTCTTTCATTAATAACATGCGTGCTCCTTTCCACTTGGGTTTGTTGGAAGAGAACTCTTTTAGAGTTAAGCTCGTCTTTGTACATTTGATTGCCTCTGTCATAATTTTATGTATAATAAGTATGTACAATAAGTATGTACAATAAAGTATTAAATTAAAATATTCTTTATCTTGGGTTTTAATTCTCCGGGTGATATCCTCATTTTTAAGTCTATTACGCAGCAAACCTCCAAATATAAATCAGTCTACAGCCCATTAAGCGACTGAAAACATTCCCGTACGACTCGTAGAAAATTCATAGCTAGTAAATTGAATAAAGCTTGATAACAAAATATTGCATGTAAGATGTCCAAATTTCACCATTCAATGACTTCATTTACCATATTTTTTTTTTAATACACTGTTGTACAAAATATTTTCAATACGAGTAGAAAATATTATAATAAATACAAAACCCTGTAATCAACGTCAATACTTTGATTTGTACCATTGGAAATTATATATTTTATATTCATGTCTATATAAAACAACCATAATAATACATTCTTAAATAATTATTTAAATTATTGCTTTTATTGGTATATTTATGCCGAATATGAAAAAAAAATATGTACATAGTAAAAAGTGTTACATTATATATATATATAACAAATTTAGTTTTATCACAATTTATAGTTCGTACACGTTGGCTCTTCGATTATTCAGACAGTTGTGATAGCATTCCTAATAGAAAAGGGTGCCTAAAGATTTTTCCAAATTGTCGGCATTCTTGAAAAGAATCGAGTTCCACCACTTCATTGATGCGGAGAAATTACTAAGCTCAGTAGATACAATTTACGTGACCTACCGATTTATGTTTAGACTTATTTAAAGTATACAATGACGCCCAATAACGGATTCAATACGACCGTAATATCAATAAAATCCGATGTGGGCTTTTTTATTTCAATAATACTTTCTTCTATTTCCCTTCCTCCTATTTTTGTGCCTTATTATATTTCTAAATCAAGAAAATATTGAAGCGAAAAATTGTTTATAGGAAAATTTATCTATTTATATTTGCTCTCTTACTAATATGAATGTACCTAATATATTTTATATGTATTTTAGCATAGGTTGCGTTCAAATATACATGTACGCAAACAATATATTATTATGGGTATTGTTTAAAAATTGGTTCATTCTAATTTGTATATTATCTGGAAAATAAGCAGATAGGTATATGCTTATAAAAGTCAAGCTTTCGGTCTTGACGTCATTAGTTATTTTTTTGTTACACGGTGTAAATAAGAGACTAAATGTTTGAGCAAACAAGGAATTATCCATAGCATACATCATCATATCAGCCTTTATTTGTCTATTACTAAATATAAGCCTCCACCTTGGAGGATTTGCCAGCAGTTGCCACGCTTGGCAGGCGAATTGACAGTCGGAGTTAGGCTTTGGAAATGTTTTAAGGAAGCTGCTGCCCATCCCTCGCCCTCCCTTAGTCGCCTGTTACAACACCCACGGGAAAGGAAGAGGGTGGCCTATTGTATGCCAGGACCACACGGCAATGTTGTACATAAAAATGAAAAAGGACAATAGTCCTTTATAATAAATATAACAACGAGTTCTACCTAAATATGCGATTCATATTTTTTTTTTTTGTACCAACAAAATGCCCCTTGTTTATGCAAACCTATAAAGGAATAAATAAACTATAGGTATTATAATTATTTTTAGTTGTAATAACAAAAACCTTTAAGAAAAGAGCATATTCCTTTTTTAAATATCGGCAGCACACCTGCAATGCCTCTGGTGTTGCAGGTGCTTATGGGCGGCGGTAGCCACTTACCATTAGGTGAACTGCACGTTCGTTGGCTCCCTGTGTTATAAAAAAATATATGATATTCCCTATGTTATGCTCATGATATTCCCACTGTTTAAGACAAATGCCGGTGGAGTATCGAGGTAATTAAGTGATGCAAGTTGGAATATTGTGGGTTCGAGTTGTAAAAATAATATATTTTTGAATCAAATTTAATATATTAAGATTATCTACTTCCACGTATTAAGTTGTAGACAGAATTCTAACTTAGAGGTTTTGTTAATAATCAGGGATATATGCTAAACATTCAATAAATTGTATAATTTATATTGGATACGTAGTAATAGGTTTATAAATTAAGCCATACACGAGTCGTGATATAATGCACATAGCAGAAAACACAGTCTTGTAGGTACTTAGGACAGAGACTCTGTACAATCACACCTACACTACGAACTTGTGTATCGATGTAGACATGTTCCCATTAAACTGTTCACGGTACCAGACTAACAAGCTTTGAGTTATTTTTTTCTGTTTTAAGCAATTTGAAAAAGGAATTTATTACATTTCGCCTGTATTGTTTATTTGATTAATAAAATAAATGTATCTGTGTGACTGCCAACACTCAAAGACTGACCACTACTATTTTTAGCAGAAATTTCATAACCTTCCATATTAGCCATCAATCTCTGACTGTCATTTTGTACACGCACGCTTTGAGACACGTGTTTCACCTCTGAATAAGACATCCTCAGGCAAATTATCTCAGCACTGCCACGGGTTCCAGTACCAACTGTTCGGCACTCAAACTGCAAAATTTTTTTTCGCTGTTACATTTGTAAGGTTGTGGAATGTCCGATAGTAATAGTAATGGCCAATCTTTGAGTGTTGGCAGTCACACACATACTAATAATAGCGGAATTAAACAAAATAATTCTAATCAAATAACTCAAATAATCAAATAACTTCCTCAAAATAACACCCAGTTCAGTAAAATATGTATTTTTTGTGTTTGTGTTACGCAATGTTTTCGCCAGTGAACCGATTTCAATAATTCTCTTCGTAATCGATTAGCTTTATTTGTTAGTCCTCTAACAAACGGAGTCTATTTTTGCGACGCAAAATCTTAAATTATTCTACGACCTCCTTTCCAGGTACTAAATGATGAAACACAGGATAGGTACACAAATAAATTACAATACTAACGTCGTATTATTTATTTTCGTCTGTGTTCCAGCCGCCCGGTACAGAGACGGGCGGTGTTTACTTGTTACGTTAAGTACACGTATGTAGTAACGCTACTTTACCAAATTGTCGAAATACTGATATTATCTTTGGGGCAAGAGACCCCGCAACACAAACTTACTACGGCAGCGGACGCGAGAGGCAGACGATATAGTATGAACACAAATCTAGGTACATACCTATTTATATAATTATAACTCTATACCATAATATATCTTCTATATAGTGAAAATCGACATCAATTGCCATATTCCCACCAATAAAATCGGAAGAAATCAAAGTTTTTTATATACTATGTACACGAAATATAATATCTTAATAGACAACAAATTGTGTAACTATAACAAGTTGAATTTGAATCCTATATGTATATGTGAGGGATATTATTAATTCTGAATACAATTCCTAACATTTTAACAAGTGTATGAATTACAAAGCATTGTCAATTGTTATTGAATTACAACAAGAATTAGGTAACAGATCATAAGCAATAGTTGTAGGTAGCTTAAAATACAACCACTGAGTACCAAACGATGTGAATCGTTTTGGTACTATTTCATTCACACTGAATTACAATTATTTATACTGGCCTTACACTCCTTACTTCGGAGTAGTTCTATAAGTTTGCAACGTGACATGGTCACTACAACAATAAGCAATTCCACATCCTCTCCTGACAGACCAATTGATACAAACTGCAAGCAAAAATATGTTTTGTAAGTAGAGCCAATATAAAGTAATTGTATTTCATTCACATCAACATATGTCTAATCTTGTAAAATTGTAACACTAACAAATACGTTTATCCAATCCGCAATTTATAAAAGCCACTTTATTTTTATTATTCAATACCGTCGACCTCTCATTAAATAGCATTTACACTCAGTGGTCGAAATTCCCGCTACCTCTACATCTTTAGTACACACTTCGCCCTAAAGCTAAATGTATTAGAGTATAGACGAAGGTATAGGTATAAAAAATAATATGATAAACCATTCCGTTTTCTGTTATCCATATAACTTAGAAGATTCGGAAATACCTCACGAATCCATAAGATGGAATGTTGTAGCGACATGCGCTGTTTTATTCTTCCTCATGTGAGTGTTAATCGAAGTGATTCTATTGATAGACTCCGTTTATACCTTGTCTAGGGAGATAGGTCATAGATCTGATAGAGAAGATCGTATATGTATAGAGCCTGTGTGAATAATGGTCAATCGCCCGCAAATAATAATGGTTTTAGATATACTAACGGTAGCAAAATTAACCCTATGGACTTCCGAAAAGTGATACCTAATAAAATAAAATCTTTATTTGAATACTAATATTGAGTACTGTCTATTACGTATTTTAATCCTAATAAAGGTATTATGGACATAAGAAATATCTCATCTGTCACGGGAATGTCATACCTCGTCTATACACTAACCGCATAATCGTGCTGTCTTTTTCACGCTTATACATTGCGAAAGAGATAGCGATGCGAAGTGTGAACCATGTTAGAGGCGAGGTGGTCGTAATTCGGTTAGGCGACCTCTCGCGTCCGTAGCCGCTATGAAGCCAACTGAAGCTGTGCGCCGTAGTCACTACACACTACACGCTACACGCCGGCTACCGCCTGTCGAGCGACAATTCAAGTTACATCAGTACGTTATATTGTCTATCATTCGGCCCGTATTATAGGACAGAACGTCACGTGATAATGTCTCTACATTAATATTATGTATATGGAAATTAATTGATGTATTTATTTATTATCTCTATAAAATTACTCTTCAATATGCGTAATGAATATAATTTATTAGTGATGCTATACTAAATTGATATATTCCTTTAAAGACTAACTACTATATCAACAACTGCTTTATTTTCTTACAAGACTGATGTACATGTCAAAAACCTTAACGCGGCCAAAAGTTCAAAAAACAGTCAATTGGTATTTTTAACTAGTCAAATATACTTTTGACCGGTTAAGAATCTTGAATGTAATATAAATAAAAAAAAATCGTTTTCCGTGTCGTTCGATGTCCATTAATACGAAACCGTCACTAAAAATCCTTCATAAAGACATTACTATTAAATATTCACGATATAGAAAAATATCGCTACATATATAGTAGAAAAAACTCCATGAACTGTTGTGCTAATAATGCGTACTTTGGAATTCTATATCACAAAACAGTTATAGGCCCCTGCGAAAGACGAACCGTCATCGAATATCGAATAAAACTTGATACCTATAGAATTCCTAAGTGAGCATAGAATTACAAATTACAGAGGTATAGGCGAGGTCTTCCAACATAACTTCCTAGTATTATATAATACAAACGAGAAATAGTACAAAAGTAAAAGTTTCAAAAACGTTTTGTGTCCCATATCAGTCGCGTTATTTGTGCAAATCTATAAACAGTAAATATAATTAGCAAAGTCGCCTTGAAGTGTCGCTCAAAAGTTTATAGTAGCCATGTAGCCTCCGACAGACATATAAACAAGTGTATAATATTATGCTTTCTATATAAAATGGACCAATAATGGCAGTGATGGTTAGCGTCAGTGCTGTCATTGGTCGATTTCCCCACTCTTATATGTCTAGCAGACGCTAAATTAAGAACTGAGGTGTTATTTTCGGATAATGATTTTAAATGGATTCTAAAAGTTATCTTACAAAATGTAATAATGGTCTTTTTCTAACTAGTTAATAAATGTTTCTACTAGAATTATCGCTAATAGAATTCAAATTGTATGGAATTGATGTAAGCTCCATTCTATCGTGTCTCAATTTCATATAATTAAACAGCAGAAAACTTCATATTGTATGGTATTGATACGAACTATTGAAGTTAATTTCAATAGTTTATATCTATTATTGTGTTAATTCCATACATATGGACTATACTACAGAGGTTATTGCTAGCAAAAAGTTCAAATTCTGTAGAGATTGACATAAACTATTGGAATTGATTTTAATAACTTATGTCAAAAATTTTGTCAATTCCATACATTTGAAATTTATACAAGCAATATCAATAATAGAAACTTATTACACTTTTTGCTATGAGTTCCTTTGCAAAGTATTGCAATGCAAATATTAAAAATGTCAAAATTTTATTTCTCAAAGTGCAAGAAAGGTAAAATAATTATTGATGTACTTATTTTCAGCAAATTAATTTTACTTATATTTTGGTATATGTTATAAAAGCAAAGAAGTACTTATAGAGACTATAACACATTTTAACAATAACAATTGCATGTCCGAATCGGATGCCATAATGATCGCTCATTTATTATTACTTCCGAACATGCAATTTTTGTTTCTTTAAAGAAATTTATATTATATATTAATTAAGAGCACCGAATTCCTAATATAAGTATTTTAATGTAATGTATGAAGTTCTAATATTTATCAATCGACATCCGAACATAACACCTCTGATCTTGAGATTGCGACCGATCCAATCGCGTAAATAACTCCTTTCCTTCATAGAATTAGCGACTCGTAAAAATGCTTTACTAATAACTATTTTAGTTAATATATCGTTATAATATGCATTATGTTATTAATGAACAAGGATTATTTTAGGATTATTCTTTATAACAGCGTTGCGTTTCAATGTGACGTAATCGCTCGTTCTACGACGGATACATTTCGAATGGTGCCTACGAGCTACTCTGATATGGTCTCAGTCTCAAGACAGTCCGTACGTCTGTTCTATGATACACTCTCCCTATTCGAGCTACTGGTCGATGTTCACAGTCGACACTGAACCGCTACCGGACACAATTATGTGAGTACAGAAGGTCAATTAGTGTCTGGATTCCATTAATACTACAAAGTACATTTTGTTAACTATATCATTAGTTAAAAATTCAAATTGAATGGAATTGACATAAACTATTGAAATTAGCTTAATCAGTATTTCAATTCCATACATTTAAACGTTTCAACTAGCGATATTGTTAGAAAAAGTGTACTTTGTTTAGTGAGATGTCGCGTGTTTAGTGTCGATTGGGTACGCAAACCTCTGATATGTGGGATGATGTGTGTAGCGCCGCGGGCCGTCCGCCGTACTCCCGCCCGATTGGTACAAAACTGGAGCGTACCTACATATACGTATATTATATACAATGTACAATACAATATCATAAAAAGACTAAACTCACTGCGATGTGCGGAGAGCAGGCAGTCGCTGTAGGTGTAATATAAAATAACTCTTAATATGACATAGATTGAGCACCTTTTAGTCCCTTGGAACAGTCTGGATCAACTGGATTAACCACATGTTACGTATGATGGTCCAATTGTGTGATTAAGTGTAGAAATGCCAAATAAAACTATGGGTAAAATTTGTCCGGACAGGCGTACGAGTCCGTGCGCACGGAGAGAATAGCCACTTACCATGTATTTTACTCTCTACTTATAATATTAAGGATCATTATATATTGTGCTAACGCTGCCTGTCCGTTCTCCGCACGTCATAGTACGTACAGCCCTAAAGACTATAGTGGCTACAGGGCGGAGCACCGGCGGCCGGCGAGGCGTGCACCTCGCGCGTCAGCAGGTATACATTCTCACAATAATATACTCGCTCTATATATAACAATTACACGAACGCGCACCACGCCCGTCAATAAACAACATAATATACAGCGGAATCGTAGCACTCTTTCGATTCGATTAAAAAAATTGACTAGAAAATCTCAATTCGCTATGAGCACTATGTGTGCGTGGATGGCGAGGAGAATATATCTGCGGCACGCCAGGCCTCCGCTTCCTCCTCGGCGTCGTACTGCTGAAGGAACGGGTTGGTGGAGCTGTAGCGGGGACTGAGGCCGCCGCTGCCGCTGCCGCTCATGTTCAGCGTCACCGCGAGCCCGGCAGAAGTACCAGGGATTGCCGAGCGGGGCGACTCGCGCGAACCTGGCTCACGGGGAGTGAGATCTCGCGGCGTCATCTCCCGTGGCGTCATTTCTCGCGGAGTGAGATCCCGCGGCGTCATCTCCCTCGGGGTAAGATCTCGCGGCGTCATCTCCCTGGAAGAGATCTCGCGCGGTGTGCTAGTACGCGGGGAATCTCGAGGAGATGCGCGCGGAGAGTTCCGCGGGGACATGCGAGGCGAACAGGCGCGCTCCGGCTGCCGCAAGATCGAGGACACTGAGCCACCGTGTTTGATAGTATCGGCCGGACTGTGACTGCCGGAGCTACTGCTGGGCGAACCTGGAGACGACACTGTCACCTGACGGGAGCGAGGCGGAGCGGGCAGTGGACCGCGGAGAGGCGACTGCGGACGATATTGGCCGCCCCTGACTGATGAGAGAACCTGCAATTGTAATGGTGCTCAAAATTAGAAGAATATTTTTAAGAGATAGAAAAAAATAAAATATAATTCAATATTAAATTAAAATAGTATGAAGATTAAAAGACTTAGGAATTATGGCTATAGATAGATTTAAATAGTACTCAGTTTTTCACTACAGAACTTGAATCGATTTGATTAATCTTTTTAATCTTTTGAATTTTATGTTCATAATAATCCGATTGAGATTTTTAAACAAGAAAATGTAATTTGGGCAGCACATATACACTACACAACATATATACCAGTTCAATTAGTAGATAAATGAACGCGTATATACTTACATGTGCGGGCGGCGAGCGGTCTGGCACGGGCCGACCCGAGAGAGCTGGCGGCGGAGATGCTGCTGATGCTGCCGCTTGAGGCCGATATGGACTGACTGAGGGCGGAACTCGGCCTGACAAAAATAATTATAAAAATGTATACTAATACATCAGAAGGTCCTACTTTGAGTTAAGGAAAAGAGACAAATTATAAGAACTATTGAGGTTACAAAGGAAATAATTTTGGGACACTTGATACGACACGACGAACTTATAAACATTATAATAGATGGTAAGATAGAACGAAGGAGAGGAAGAGGGAGACGAAGACATAGATACATCAGGCAGATCAAGGAAAAAGTTGGTGTTGTGTCTTATCAAGAAGTAAAGATACTCGCTGAAAATCGTAGTGAGTGACAAGAACTCCAACGACAAGAGCGTAGCTCTTAAATAGGATAGATAAATACTAATACATATAATAAAGCGGAAAAGTTTGTTTCTTTGCCGCGCTAATCTCTGAAACTACCATCTGGATGTAAAAAAATATTTTTCATTTGATAGCTCATTTCTAGAGAAAGGGCAATATAATCACGGATGAAGCTGCGAGATACAATCAGTTAGGTATATAAATGAAATAAACCGAGTGATTGAAATACGATCTATCTGATCACTGTTGACACTGATATTTACTGTTGACAATAACTCCACTTTCGAGGGGTTTTTCTAGTAGTTGCTTTGCTTGGCAGGCAGTTTAGCAGCCGCAGTTTGACTTTGGTGATGTTTTAAGTGGTTTAATGTATCAGCCCATCCCTCAACCGTTAAATTCCCTTAGTCGCGTCTTACGACACACACGAGAAAGGAAGTAGCGGCCTTGTGCCGAGACCACATGGCCAATAGATTAGTTTACAACAACTTGATAATGGTATAAAAATAATACAAACCTGGGGGGAGGGTGACTGAGCCCGCTAGCGACGCACTGACTTTGCTTCCACGCGGCCCGGTTGCTGGCTCGCCGCGCCGAACTGTCTACAAACATACATGCGTTAAGGTACCGCTTAGCACTTTAACACAATAGTATATATAGTGCTATCAAATTATCTGCATTCCCTTTAAAGGGATATAATATTTTATATATACGTTACGAAAATAATAGAATTTCGTGTCTTAAATGTCATAAAATTTTTCATATAAAAAAAAAATAATTATAATTTTTCATACAAAAATAACAAATTAAAATTTTATATTCAGGAAAATAGCTGTTTCGATGTGCCTTCAGTAAATGCAGGACGACCACTATATTCTGCCAAGATAAAAGAGGAGGTACTAGACTTCTTCCGACGTCATCCTACGGTGAGCACTAGAATTAGCGCAACAGTATTCGACATCAGGAATAAATGTGTATGGCAGTTATTAAATAATGGGGGACTCCATCCGTACCATATCACAAAGGTGCAAGAACTAGAACCAAATGGATTATGCGTCACGTGTCGAGTTATGTACCTAAATGCGACAAACGGTGTAAGATGGATAGGGCGAGAAAGGCCAGTGCCGTGGTCTTCTCGCTTATTGGGCATGATCTCAAATACATACATACATATCTGTCACTGATCTCAAATATGGACTAATAAAAATCGCGTATCACGCCTACATTTAAATGTAATAATAATATATAGAATTAAGGTTATTGAATTAAGAATTAACTTTATTGAATGTTTAAAGACATGCACGTAAACGTGCATATATATGTATTGAAAAACAAGGTGGATTCGTGCAACAATTTGTTTAGTGTAAATAAAGAAAGCTGTTGTAAATAAGATAATGAACATTTAAACACGCCAAATTATCTAATACACATTAGCGCTGACATAAAGTCTTATTTTTTGAGATAACTAAATAAACATAATGTATGAACTTGATAGACCATAGCCTGATTGAAATGTGATGGGAAGTTCATCACGTTTTTTTAACGATTTAAAACGATTTATCTTCATGTTAGTAAGTAAATTACGATTTTTAGTATGAAAATATCAGTGGTTTTAATAAACAGCTAACGTTTTGCTAATTGCGGGAACAACGATTAGATAGAAAAAAAACATAGAAATGAAGACTTTTACATGCAATGAAGAAATTTAAGTATTATATATATATATATATATATATATATATATATATATATATATATATATATATATATATATATATATATATATTTGATCATGCTTCCTAGACATGAAATTATTTTTTTATCGTAATGTATATGTCTAATACTATGTCCTGTAGCAGGAAATGCAGATAATTTGGTAGTACCTTATATTTATAATTATTTTTTATTATGATATGAAAAATAGGTAAAAAGAGAAATATAAGATTATGGGGACTCATAATAACACAAGCTTTAAAAAAGTATAAATATCACTCTGAATAAAATAACTACCTAACTCAAAAATACCAAATTGAGTTTTACTGAAATACTCGTATCATGCAGGTACATAAAAAGAGCAATTTTTAAGATATAGGTAGTGAAAAAAAACATTTTATTTCTTTAATATATCAATATATTTCTAAGAAGTTTAGTGGATTTATTCCACCTCAGTAGATTTAAATTCAGGGCTGTGATAATGGATAATATCATAATTAGCTATGTACATATATGTACATGTACGTATATACACTACATATTTACATTTATTTATATCACACTATCTTACCCACTCATACATTTATAGATACCTCTACAATTGGTGACCATGAAGTTGTATTATTTAATCATTGCTGTCAATATCTGAACTTTAGCAACATGGATTTTAATTATTTTATATATCAATTAACCTAACTTTAAGGACACTCAATATTATATATGGTTTCTTTTATACATGTACTTATATTACTTGCATACACCCACTCTAACTTGCCTATCTCGCTTTGGAATTATATTTTTTGTTTGTATAAATAAAATCCGTAATTGGCTGTATTCATAAAAGACTTAGCATGTAAGTTGTTTTTTAAGAGCTGTGGATTTTTATATTAAATAAAATAAAAATAAAAAGTAGGAGTTTCTTAACTAGATTGTAAAAACTAATCTATTTTCAGTGATTATTTCATTAAAACTCATTTTGACGATTTTAAGTTGATATTTTACCAAATACTGAAGAACCATGATATTGATGGATAAAATAATGAGATGTTGTGACAACATTAACTGATCAGAATGAAGTAGTCAAACAGAAGGATGAGGGTAGCTAGACAACACATAAGAAACTTCTACTATGGACTTGATGTAACTGAAATTAATTATGTAGATGTGTTTTTTGATGTCATATCTATAGACCTTCATTGTTCTCGAAGGTTTCTGGCGTGATTAGCAAAAACAACTTTAAATACCTTCCAAAGTACAAAGTGAGTGATATTATTTTTAATTTAATGAACCATAAATTTTTAATTCAGAGATTTAGACTCGGTTTCGATTTTGGGATCTTCGAAGTTCAGTACTTGAAGACTAAGTTGTGAGCTTGTATTTTAAAAAGAAAATTTATTGAATTGTACAACAGAATCAGATGACATTACCTGAACGTTTCGGCGCCGGCCATATTTGTAGCAAGCACTGTAGCACGTGTATGGGTCTCTGGTAGTCCAATTCGTTGGGTGGCTGCGAGTGTAACATGAGTGGTGGTGCTAACGCGACGGCGAGATGTTGTGGCGACATCTTGTTGCGGTCTTGTGCTGCTACGACCAGAGCTAAGTGATCGAGCAGGAAGACGAGGGTGGCTCGGGCTGCGCGCGGCAGGCATTCTACTATCGACGCCATCAGTCGGGCGTTGCCCTCCCGATCGTCTGGTAGGCACACACCTGTGTAAATTAAATAATTGGAAAGAAACGATAAATTACAATTTTATGAATATTTATGATCTGCTATATTATTATTTATACTGATTACTAATCGTTTGTATGTAAGGAGATGACTTTATAGCATTTAGGTACTTAAATAATGTCAAATTCACTTTGCTGTTACACTAAAAGATTAAAAGCGTTTTTATGTTGTGAGACTATATGTAGCAATACAAAGTCTTGATAAATAATACAAACATTGACAGTCGTCAGTATGAATACTTTCATATTAAAAGTATTGTACTTAATAATATAAATGCAAATGATGCTATCGATAATTAACAGTACAAGCTTACCCTCTTATTCGTAAAAATTAAAACATCCTACAAACCTATTTCAACTGTTACAGTGTTTTGTCACCGTGTTTCAAATGATAAATTAGTACAAAAGAAAAGAGCAATATATTTCAATAGTTAAATTAGACTTGAGTGAGATTTGAAGTTTTTAAGAATATGGAGTTAGTTTCCATACAAATGCTTCACCAAAAAGAGGTGAACATTTTCATCCATGTCTACTTTAATAGGGGTCCTATAATGTGCACTTGTTACTGAATATGTGGGAAAGATTTATAATAATGCTTACCTTAAGTTATTTACTTAGCTTACTGATTACTTTGATTAATATCTGAGTATAGTATTTTCGTTTCAAAATCATAGAAAGTAGCCGCTATTTTAATTAATACATTTATATTAATTTGTAACCAATACGTATAGTATATATTTATATGATATAAGAAAAAAAAAAACAAACCTGACTTGGAAATTTTTAACCAATTAATAATAACGCTAAAAAAATGGTGAAATTTGTTTTGGTTTAAAAAATATGTGTACCTATTTATTTATTTAAGTGTTTATTGCACCAGCATAACAAGATTTGTTGAACAATTTTCAATAAGTATAGTGTATACAAAAGGCGGTCTTATTGCTAACTCAATTTTGACCTATTTTTTGAGATTCGATGCAAAATTTATACAATCTAAAAATATAAGTTGATTTTAAAGGCGTTATAACGATGGTAGCCTTAGAAATTTTAAATTTTCTTACCCAGTGCATCCAAAGTCATTTGGAACAGGCATCGACTGAATAGGGGCTGGGGCAATTCTCTTAGGTAATCCTTTAATAGCCCAGTAATGACGTTGATGTCAGGAACTGAATCTGGTGCCAACTCCACACCTCGAGCGTTTCTTTCGAATGCCTCCCGTAATATGCGCTTCTTACTCGCCGAACCGCATAGTCGATAGAGACCTGTTAAGAAAATATATTTGAATGTAGTATTTAATTAACAACACTATAAAATGTAGAGTATAAGGTGTAACCATATTAAATAACATGATACCATTCATTAATACCAATGCCCTTCTACCCACCATCGATAAGGAATTTATCCCATACTTTGGAACCTGAACGAAGATTGCTGGATAAAAACTATTACAAAGTAAAGCTTGCTGTTGTATATTATTAAATTGTGTTAATGTGGAAAATAAATGAAACAACAAAATAAATATATCTATAGTATTTAGTATATTCATACATCAAGTATACATTAAGGAAGATAGATGAAGAAGAAAAATCTCTCTTTCTAAGCCTAGCGCCTTATTCCTTTCTATCTTTAGGTTACTGCTGATGATGGCTATGGTTGTTGAATAAAAATAAGAATGACAAATTAAAAAGTAATTGAAACTCGTACCGATGATGTCGAGTCCCCGGCGCTCGATCTCCTCGACGCAGCGACGCACAATGAGCGGCACAGGCGGAGCGTGCGGCGGGCGCCCCTCACGCGCTACCACGGCGTCCAGTTCGGCGCCGAATAGCGGCGGCGGCGATATTCGCGCCGGTGCCGCACGCCGCCGGAACAGCTCGTGCGGCTCCGTATGCCGCACGCGCACGTACAGCGTGCCACGTGGCTCCATCTAGTGTTACCACATTCAATGCTTTAGTAATAATTTATGAAACATGGAAAGAATAAACTAACTGCCCATTCGCCTAATAGAAAATGGTAACCATCGCCTACAGACATGAATAGCATCATAGACATGATAAAAATCTATATATGTACTATAAAAGTAACAACAACGCTTAAGGGTTGATCGACGTCATAAAAAGTGTTCTAGTTTCTTTCCTATTATTATATGTAAATACATATTAAATATTTTCAAACTCGTTGATTTGCCTCCAAACTAATGAATATCTGGCATTCTCCTTCATAATTATCATCATCATCTCAACCATTATCTGTCTACTACTGAATATAGGCCTCCCCTATAGATTGTCATAAAGAACGATCCTGAACTAAATACATTCTTATTGTAAGTATATATTTAATGACCTTTTGTGAAGAGAAATAAAATTATTCATTCATTATACCGCATTATACAGTTTGTTTGCCATTTCACACAGTTATTTACATATAATATCAAGAAATTATTTTTACCTTAATGGCAAGTTGATGGGAGGCTGAGCGAGCAAGTAAGTCAGGTAGAGTGACAGCACCTCGGTAACAAAGCTTGTGCCTGTGCTGAGGATCCCACGAGTAGACCAGCACGTCCAACTGTCGGTTGTCCACTAATTCCAGTTCGAAAGACTCGTCCCAATCAAATTGAAGCTCACCAGTACGAACCTAAAAGATCGCGTATGTGATTAATAAACTGACAAATTAACATAGGCAAACTAATTTACAGATTCTTTAAATACTGTAGGTACCTGAGTAAAATACTTATGAATTTGAAACTGAAATATTGTTTTTCCAGGAGAAACTCTATCTTATACTTGTAATATTTATGTAATCTGAAAGGCTAGGTGTAATGGCACTAACTTTGTATTATCTCACCATAGACAGTGTAAAGAAAGATCTGATTTTATCATCGCTTCTTTTTCTAATATCTACTTCGGACAAGGTTATATGTTCACCAAATTTTATAAACAAGTACAGAAAGAATATTTTACTTCTTAAACAAATAATAATATACATACCACAGTGCGAGCCTTATGTACTCTATCGCATTCCAACACACAATACAAGTCTCTCGGAGCTACAGGCGGTTGAGCAGGTGCTAATGGTCCCGAAGGTGGTGAGCCAGGGGAAGATCCCGAAGGCGCTGGACGAAGACCCCGACCGGCTAGCAAGTGTACCCAGAGCATCCCTGATACACCACCAGAGAGGCGGGATAGACCGGTCATAGATGCTGATAGACCTCCAGAGCTTGGCTTTTCCACTTTGTATTTTAAAAACTCTGAAAAAAAAAATTGATTGAACATTTACTTTTCAAGATAATTTATAATTATGGGTCAGTTTGATTGAGGTACTTGGCGGTTATAATATATTCAAACGCACTATAGTGTGATGACAACGAATTAATGATATCTTCATCACTATGTATACTACTTAACTGAACGTGACTTAGTAAATGTAGTTCTTTAACTCTTAGTATATTAGTAATAAGTTATTGTTATCTTTGTCAAAATGCATGACATCTATATTAACATAATAAAACGGAAGAATGGTTTCTATATTTAAACTTATAATTTGTTCTTGTAGTTATAAACTCATTTTTTGCAAAAGAAATTAAACTATCCAACACCACGACACGACCACAATCAGAACCGCAGGATACAGCTAGTAGTATGTAAAAATAAGACGTATGCGTACGTCAAATATTACTTTGATCTTACAATCTATAATATATGTATAAGAAATTTATAAGTAGCTTACCATTAGGATTTATATCCAAATGTCGCTGATGTCGAGAACTGGGAGTAGGTACTGGACTCGGGTTGGGGCAGTTGAACCTCGACCCCAGCTCTAGCAATTGTCTGACGCGACGAGCTGATGGAGATCCCCCGGCAGTGGGACCTAATTGTTGTGAGGATAACGAGCGAGCTGGCAAGTGACGAGGTCGCTCAATCCGGCGACCAGCCAACCCGAGAGTTGAACCGAAACGGCTACCGCTCTCCATCTAGAAAAATAAGTTTGATCATTTATTTTTCCTATTAGCTTTCTCCTTCAGCTAGTTCTTTTGCCTATGTTTTGACTATAAATTTTCCAAGGGTATCCCATTCGATTCGATGTATGAAAATGAGATTTGAATTTCTAAACATAATATGAATGAAAGTTCAAAATTTAGTTGTATTTTTACTTTTTAATATTACGATTTATATTCCCTAAAGAAAGTTTAACTTTATCACACCTAGATTCTGAGTTATTATTCTTTTTAACATTATTAGATTCTACTGTGGCTATTTCGAATTACGACAGTTATCCAATAACTTTGTGAATTGACAGCAGTGTCTCTGGCTACTTCATTAGAAATACATCATACTTTTTTATTACTATTTATTTATGTTAATAAAATTCTTACATTTTTGAGCGCATCATGTATATTTTCAGCAGAATAATGTGTCGGCAAGCGTGGACGTAGCGTCTCGTAGAGGGCGCTAGTGGATGGAGCGCGCGACAACCAAGCGCGATATTCGTCTGACGTGAACACTGATGGCGACGATGGTAGACGACCTGATGCAAAGTAGAATCGTTAGATAAATTCATTCATTTTATTATCAATTTTTTATATGTAGACGATGTTGAGATGATGACAGTAAGATATCGAACTGAAAGCCCACCTAAAATAAAATAGTATCCAGTGCCTGTAAACATAAACAGTGCCATTGACATCACAGAATACATTAGCCTATCAATGGTACTTCGTATATGCTGCCATTCCAAAAGACTAATATTTTATACCTACGGAGGCATAAAACTAAATGTGAAATTCACTTCCATATTCAAAGCTGACATACAGGCATGCGATATGAATGTACCTAGGTGTTGTGATGTTTTTTTATTCCTCAAATAAAATATTATTACCTCTGGAAGAACGTAGATCCAAACGAGAAGACAATGGTTCTGGTTCATCTTGAAGAACACTTCCTGCACGTCTACTGAGTCCCAACCTTTGGATATAATTAAAAAGATTAGAGGAGTTTTATGTTAATATTATTCTACAAATAACAAAAAGGAAATTACCTTTGACCGGTTCCTCTTACATCTCTCGGCAGTGAATTGAATTTAGATCCTATATCTCGGCCCAAAGTACTACTTCTATACCCACTAAGACCCGAATAATAAGGAGTCCTTGTAGGTGCTGTGGCTTCTGTATCGGACGAATAATCTAAACTGCGGTTTCTTCTCGTCGTTCCGAATTTGCTACTATATGACGGCAGTCCTAATGCACTAGTACCATAACCTCCACCAAGAGTCGATCCTAAACCAGTTCCAGTGAGTCCAGGACCCAACCCTGAACTTGTTAGGCCAGATCCCACTAAACTTGAGCCGGTGAGCCCACTAAGGCCAGTTGTGGATAATCCTGAAGGAAGACCAGGTCCCAAACCAGTCCCGCCTAAGCCAGAACCTAGTCCACTGCCTGTCAGTCCGGGTCCCGTCATACCCACTCCTACGTATCTCTGATTATATCTTGAGAGACTCGACGCTGAAACAAATAGAATGATATTAATAAATAAAATAAAATTATTGTACTCGTTCATTAAAATACCAAAAAAAGCAACTAACCTCCGCTACCAGTAGCAGCTGAAGCCTTCAAACTAGATCTGAGCAGAGAGTGTCGGCCGAAGTCTGAATGTGTTTCAGCTCTAGGAAGTTGTTGCTCTGAACCAGATCGAGGTACACGGCCTCCGAATCGGGTACTGAAAATTAAAAGCATTTTTATTTATGGTTATATACGAATACATTAAATGATTGTTACGATGACAAATTGTGTAAAAGCTTCTTGTAGAAACTTATTTATGATAAAACATACAATATTTCAAATAATAACATGCCCAAACCTTTGAAAACCATTGAATATTTTCCTACGGAATATAATACATATTAATATAATTATCTTCAAAAAAATTTTTTTTTGTTCGGTTCCGTTAACTATATATAAAATGCAATATTTTTACATATAATTCATAATTGTCATGAGAATATATTTGTGACAATATTAAATTAGTAAATATTATAATTGAAAGTTAGATATTATTCTTTTACAATTTATCTGTTATCCGGTATTCATTATCAGCCAATGATTCGTTATTTCTCTAGGGTCTTATTCATTACATAAATTAACTCTGAATTGTATATTTTATGAATTCCATTTGGAAATAATCAAAATAATACACGACTCACCTTCCACTATCAGTAGGGTACAACGAGTGCACTTTCTCTGCCAAGCTCTCAAGAGTATTTGGATACGACCGTTCGTAAGGTACGAAATGTGTTGCCGCAGACTTGGGCTGCTCTGTGATAACCGGCGGTGGTGGACGATAGCTATCAAATAAATATTTTTCATATTAAATTTTAAAAAATAGATTTGGTTGTATTCTGAATCATATACTATTCTTAACAAGGGTATAAAAAACGAACAATCAGTAACTAGTATTTTGTGACACCTATGCAATTGTTGACGATTACCATTTCCTATCAGATTTGCTTGTTTTTCATTTCAAATATTATGAAAAATTACTCTTATAAATTATCGAAAATAACCACCTAATTTTATTTTAAATTAAAAAAGCCTGTTATACCTATTAATCAATTAATAAATGTAAAGGTTAGGATTTAATTATTTCTTTACTAAAATTATATGTAGCATATTATTTCATAAAATTTTCTATCATACCTCCACGTGGAATGATCTGAAGGTGGTCTTGGATTATAATACAGGTCGAGAGCAGTGGAGTCGGGCGAAAGTGCGCCGAGTTGCAGCCGACTCCTCTCTTCCCTTCCGTCGCCAACAGGACGCACATTACTACCCGGGCCTCCAGCGGACCGAAGCGTCCCGTGTCTAAAAGCATAATTATCACTTCGAAAACTACATTGAAGGGGCACTGGAAGGTGATTGAAGATTGCTACAAACAGATTCTTATAGAAATAATAAAGTCAAGTGATTTGATTTAATCAAAGTTTTATCACAATCTGCAGTTTGTTTTTTGAAACAACCGAATTCATATCAAGGCGAAATTACCTCGAATAGACTTCAATTATAAGGCTTAATAACGTCTATATGACGTTCTATTGTTTCTAAAAGAATCTATATATAGCCCTTATCATTAATACTACTTCTAGTGTGAGAGTATCATCTTCTGAGGTCAAAAGTAACTAGGCCACCTTAGTTGTACACGTATACTTCTAAGGTGATGTACCGTTTGTGGCTTAATATACTGAATTACGAAAAATGACACTTCAGACATCTAAGCTTTGAACCACAGTCAAGCAACCAATACAGCCGTCGCTGCTTTAATCATCATTAATAACAATCCATATTGTAGTGAAGGAGTAGGCAGCTGCGTCCCTCCTATAACATCTCCAAAGCCTAACTGCGGTTGCCAATCCGCCTGCTAAGCCTAGCAAGTATTAGCAGAACTCCCTCTAGTGAGGATTATGCAATGGACAGTTAAAAACTAATATAATGATAATGACGATGATTGTAGTGCTAAAATAAATAAATCTTTTGAAAACATGATTGAAATTAATCAGTATATACATACTTATTATACAATTTACTAGCGATTCAGTCCAGTTTCTCAGTGTAGATAAAATTTTCGGAAATAATATGTAACCTATAGTACTTGCTGATAATATAGCTTTGTATAGATACATTTTTAAAGTCGGCTAAGCAGTTTTTAAGTTTATTTATTATAAACAATCAATATTATCTAGTATATAGTAATAGTTATTACGCTAACAATATATTAATGAAATACTTACTGTGAATATAGTCCATCAACACGGTCCCGGTCATCATCATCTCGGCAGTCTCTCTTCAACACCACCACTGGAGGTGGCTTGTGCTCAGACCGAGGCAAAGACGGGGAGCCCGGTCCGGATTTACCTGTTATTATATTCTAATTATAATTCTCTATGAAAAAATTTCTACTTTCCCATTTTTACATTGCTATCAATCCTGAAGGTTGATTGATTGAATTGCTATCAACATCAACGGTAACATCCATTTGACTTTTGTTCGATGTGATTGCGATGATTGCAGCCATGTTACTATAATATTGCGTTTTCATCGCTATAACGTGCCTAAATACATAGATATGCCAAAATTAACTCGTATATACTAGAATTTTGTTCTACTAAAAATGCTTGTTTGTCACACTTGTTAGTCAATCTCTACAAACAATAAAGTGTAAAGGACCCATCACTTTTTGTTGATATTCCATCATTAAAATTAAGTGAATACTCCAGCATGCCTCGTCAGATCAACTTCCACAAAGCCCCTCTAAAAACTATAGTACTTAATTCCTAAAGAATTCGTCACATAAGTCAACCGACCTGATTTCATTCTCATCTATCATTTTTCGGTCAGAGTCATCTAATCAGACACTGCCAATATAAACTTTTAGAGCAGGCATATTAACAGAAATGATATTACATTTTCATCTATTAATTCATTAATTTATTTTATTTCAATAAATATTTAGTAGGTAATTCTAAATAAATAAAAGGAAATATGGTATAGGTGTACTTAATATAATATTTACCTTTCCGCTGCCTTGTACAAAGTAACAGCCTCCTTGGTATGGACATAATGATCACAACGTCATCGAGAGACATCCTCCTCACGTCTACCAGATTCACAGCCAGAATCTCGTCTCCGACCTTCAAACATCCGCTGTTGTACACGGCGGATTCCAGTGCTATCCGTGATATAAAAACTCCGTCTGTCCTGGCGCCACCATCTCCTTCTCTAATGTACAAACCTAGGGTTTGTCCGGGACGCTTCACGATCTCAACCAGTTGAACTATATGGCGAGAGTCCTATTGAAATAATAGATAGATAATAAAAATAGCAATTTAATGTCGATCATTATATAACACAAATAATTCCTGGAGCGTTTAATCTAAACATATGACTATAAGAACATATTATGAGTTATTCTAAGTTGTATAGAAAAAAAAAAATTAAATATATATAATATCCTTTACTCTAAGTGTAAAACCAAAAAACTACGAACAATTTAAAAGTATTTGAGAGACGGTCAAATCCTACGGTGAATAAGGTCTGTCAAAAGGTAAATTTATCAAATTGCGTGCGTAATACGGAAACGAGCAATCAACACAAAATATTCGAAGCCTAGGTAATTGTATAAACTAAATTACACGCGAGTAAATATTGTTTAAATATTTAATTGCCATCATAATTATAAAAAAAAAATTAAAAAGCACTTTCAAACTTTTGTTCTCATAGACGTTAATATTAACAACAATTCATACGTTCGTTTAAAGAAGTATATATTTATAATATATTGCAGATTTCAGCTCAAAGTTCTACAGTTAAATTCAAAATATAATAGTATAATTAATGGTAAATAATGTAACTGGAGGACTTAGCTATCTGCATCATTTCACAAACTTTAGGTATTCGGTCAATGTAAACCGTCTTGTATCACAGAAATTTGTCCTATGCAATAATGATAGTAATACATAGAGAGAGGGGCGTACCATCGCATCCCAACAATGGTGGCTAGATTGCGTTCACATTCCATACGATCTAGGCCAACCCGTCAGAGACGAACAATAGTGCTGGAGTAGCGTTCTTTCACTGGTTCCGTACTAGGTTACGAGTACCGAATTCGGGTCAATGGAGCGTGGTTTACCTATTTTAAGAAGATGTGCACATAATAAACCGTCTGGTTTATTTTTATAGTACACAGTCCAGTTTATACTTAGAACCGTCATGCAATTTACAAGGTTAATTTGAATTCATTAATATTCTTTTAAGATATTTTTCTAACAATGAAACTGAGCATGGATCAAAAAGGACCAAAAATAGACACTCTTTATTAGAAGATGCGAAAAATCTCCTTTAATACTAATATGGCACGTCCAGCTCTCAAGTTAGTAATAAAGAACTACATTTTTCGATAAATGATTTTAAAGAAATAAATTCAGTAACTCTGTTAGAAGACTGTCTCAAAAGGATGCTAATAGTTTTAATTCTATCCAGTATAGACCACATTGAGACCTTATTTCCGTAATACGATATCCAGCACGTTGATTTGATATGAAGATTATTTAACAATAGTCAATTTACCATAACAAGAAAGATTTCGTATAATATTCATTCGTATGAATATTATACGAGAGTGTTTTCAATATTTCTTATCGTTCCAAATCATCATAGCAAGAGTAATTCTTTCTTTCTTTCAGTACAAGATAAATCACAAATCAAATCGTAGTGTAATTCATTTTAGAAAATGGCCGAATCGACAACTAATCGATTATTACCGCATTAAATCTTGACTTAGAATCTAGCCTTTCACATTTAGTAAGACCTGTCTGTCCAATTAGAAAATAGAACTAAAAAAGTATCAGCATACAGAAAAAAAAAATTACCTGTAGTGAAAAGAACTTCTTAGCGGCTTCAATATTGTTCCGGCCCACTTGTCTTATTTCCAATATTCGTACGATCATCTCGCCGCGGCGTTCCACCGCCTGTAAAGACAATAATACAATATTTGTTTATTGAGATAAGTGTAAGCAATTTATTAAAAAGGAACGTTCAAGCTTGTCAAATATCAATGATAAAGATATAAAAATCTTTCATATTTAACCAGAAAGATGCACCAACGATCGTGAGATACATCAAAGAGAGAAGGCATCTTGAATGGTGCAACTTCAATTTGACGTCATAATAATAAATTTATTTCTCTTTACACAAGTTACATACACAGATTTAAACTAACATAACATAGATACACTATGTGAGAAACTGACGATACCTATTAACATATTTATATTCGTATTGACAAACTTACTAACCCACAAAAGCACAGTCATTTAATAACGATGATCAAACAGAATATTTATTAAATGCATATTTTTGGATCAGCTCAATAAAAGGCATTTAAATTAATCCACTGCCTGACTTTAAAAATAACTCTAGCAAGATTGGTTGAAACATTTTTTGCACTACCTACAGGAATTAAGAACCCAACTAGTGACATATCCATATAAAATCTTCGTCCTTAACTTATAGACATGATGAATTGCATGGACACTAAAAAAGCATACTTTAATATCCATGATACCTCTCATGCATTTGCCACTTCTTTACACAAACCTTTGTGTAGAAATTGGTGTTTGAAATAACACCTAGTTCAAAAAATATTTAAATAATTGTCGAATATCAACCATTCTCACAGTATATTCATACTGTAATTCTTATGCACACACATTAGATAGGCCATTGTAAAAACACTTGTACCATTCGACAATTTTATAACCTATACCTTACCAGTTTTACTTTTAGGTAAAACTGGTAAAGTATAGGTCATTTATCTATACAGTGGCACAGTGCTCTCCTTAAACTACTCTGTACGACAAGAAACTTGCCAACAAACACCCAGAGTATTCAGACCCATCAAAGTTCTGTGAAAATGACTTTATTCTATAAGTATAACATCATAGTCCTCAAGAATGGCAACACCTGAGGAGTACTACGCATATCACAGTGTATTCTGTAATATTTATAGTATTTTTCATATCTATAGCTTGTTGCTGTTTTCCGTTGCTTTTGTTTTGCTTTTTTTTTTGGTTGTAAGCTGTCCGATTGTTTGCCATTATAAGTATCGTAAAATAAATTCGTTTCCTAAATCTACCCAACAAAGTATCTAGATCGTTTTGGCTTATTGTATCCTAATCATTACACGCTATATAATTAATAATAGGTTTCACGTCTAAAACGATTAAATTAGTTTAAATTCTTAAAATGAAATATAATTAAACCCTTACCTCGAGCGCCGCGGCCGTGGTCGAATCATGGTCGTTTTCCACCATTTCAATCTGCCTGAATATTTCATTGCTTACACCTGATACCTGGAAATAATAGTAAGTAGATATTATGCTCTATTAAATTATGAAGAAGTAATGGCAACAACCATTAATTGAAGTATACTATCTCTGTAATTAACAAATAAACGAGACAAATATAATTAAACATTTTGATTTAAACCTGTTTAGTTATTATTCCTAAAATTATATGGATTTAATAGATTTATTTTTTATTTATGTATTTAATTAAGTATTTATGGTCTATGAAATTTGAAAAATTTACATCTTAAATATCTATTATTATTATGTCTATTTCTAAAACTATATTTGGTATATAGTTTTAGAAAAAAAGGAGATTCTCAATTCGGTTGTATTTTTTATATTTGTTACCTCATAACTCCGTTAGTTCTAAACCGGTTTGCAAAATTCTTTTTTTTTCTGAAGGGATATACTTACAGATTGGTTCCATAGAAATGTTATCAAAATCATGACAGTAGTTTAGTTTCTAAATAAAAATAACTGGTATTATTACAACTGAGATCGTTTTTTTTTTTTGGGACACAATGTTTAATAATTATTGAGTTTATCCATAACAAACAAAAAGTCAAATCATTCTTCTTTATAATATTAGTTGAGATAATGAAAATATTTAAAATTATTTGATTTAATGAAGTACCTTTCGGAAGTCTGGCTGCAGTACGCAGGGCGGCGCGTGGTTGGCGCGCGGCAACTGCGGCGGGCCGGGCGGCGCGCGGCCCGGCGACGCCGTCAAGTCCGGTGCCGCGCGGCCATTCTCCTGCCAAACAAGGACGTCACATTAAACACAGGACCAATCGAAGCAATCAACTTTTCTCAGAATCCGCCTCTGTGGAAAATTATTACGTACACAGTTTATGGTTTCCACAAACAAGTAGATTTTTACTCCTCAATAAAAAAGCTATTTCAATCATATCAATAAACACTTATGTACGACGAAATATTTTATAGACACAATATATTGAAAACCTTTTAACCTTTTTGAACCAAATTTATCTCCATTATTTACAAAAACGTCAAGCCTCTCACTATTTTAGCTATTGCAATATTTTGCCCTTTCCTTCGGCACTAATTTCTCAATTTTAAAGAGAGTTATAAAACACAATAGTTAAAATAGGTTTGTAGGACGTTTTAGTTTTTATGAATAAGGGAGCATAAGTTTTGCTTTATATTAAGCATTTTTTTTTATCAAAAATTTATTTAGAACTGGCGAAGTAAATTATCTTTTGGAAATCGGTAAAATATTATCGATCAATTTTTGCAAAGATATCCACTGCTGAAAATAAGCATAAGTATTTTTTTTGTTATACGACATTTTTTGCTGTGTGGTCTTGGCATAGAATAGGCCACCCCTTCTTTCCCGTGGATGTAGTAAAAGGCGACTAAGGGAGGGCGAGTGATGGGCAGCACTATCCTTCTTTAAACATCACCAAAGCCTAACTGCGGTTGTCAACCCGCCTGCCAAAAATGACAACTACTGGCAAAATCTCCCAATAGAGGGAGACCTATGTTCAACAATGAGAACAGTACCGACAAGAATCGTCATAAAATAACTTTATCAAAATTTTTAACATTGAGTACAACTGTACAGTATAACACAAATTTTCTTATGTTGCAAATTCCTAAAAAACAAATAAAGGGTAATCGAAACCAATGAAAATATCTGTCGAACCCTTTTCATTTCAGAATTATGACTTTGAAAACAAACACAAGCCGGCGTCTTTATTTCCGTTCTTTCCCGCCCTGAAGCAGTAATATTATCACAGCGTACCTATATCGACTTCCAACGGTAGACGCGACACGATCAAAGAACATTTTCGACATCCGAACGATTCCCTAGTTAAATCGAATAATCGAAAACGTAAAAAGATATGAACCAAGTATAAAATCCACGTAATTAGATTTAGTAACTTTTTTTTATATTTTGCTGATATATTAACAGTCACAATTTCTCGTTAATGATGACGTGACATAAATTTTCTTTCACTTGTAATCTTTCACATAGAATCAAATCAGCCAAGCATGGTCGCTCTAATTTCACCCGATCTTGATAAAAGCATAACATCTTTTAAAAAAATCTAATTAAGTAATATATATTTTATTTCGACATATATTACATGTATAATATTTATTAAATTTTTGGAGTTGTTTTATTAATTAATATGCTATTCACTAGTAATTAAAATATAGAGGAAGTAATTTCTTAGTTCGCACAGAAATCAGTGTGAGTAGGTTATTTCTATTTAACCTACACGTACACATGTATAAACAATTCGACAGGGGGGAAAGGGATTTTTGGTAATGGAGCCTGAGAATACCATTGCTAGCAACATACCGAACCAGGTCGACCTCCTCGCGGTTCTCCCTGGAAACTATCGTGGTTAATTCCTGATGAATTCATCATGACTGCTAACTGACCTGTTTTCATTCTCATCTATCACCCTTCACTGGTGCTCCGCCAGCGTATCCCGTTAGCGCAGGTTACCATACCATTTTCACCTAACAAAAAAAACAATTCGACATACTGTGACAAACGACAGATTAGGTTAAACGCTTAAATAATATACCTATATATATATATATATATATATATATATATATATATATATATATATATATATATATAGGTCAACTTTTTATCAGCTAATTATCAAATAAGCTAACTCGTTTTTTTATCAATGTTCTATATAATTTAATAAATAAAATAATTGTCTGCGCATTAAAAAGATACAGAGTTTATAAAACAAAATAAATGTAAAAATTATAAAGGAATTATAACTATTTATCCCGCAATATTATATGAAAAAGTCTATATAATCTAAGGTTATATGCTTATGAATTGTATCTTGGATATAAGTAACCTAACTTTATATTCAGACATTAAAAAAGGTATCTACTTACCCCTAATGATAGAAATAATTAAAAAAAAAAGAGATTATCAATTCGAATGGATTTTTTTATATATGTTACCTCATAACTTATAAACCGATTAGGAAAATCTTTTTTCATCTGAAGGGATATAATTACAGACTGGCCCCATCGAAATTTTATCAAATCCTTTCAGTAGTTTAGTTTTATGGTAAAATCAAAGTAACCGATTTTGTAAACTAATTAAAGTAGATTTTTTTAACACAATGTTATGTAAATTATGTAACGAGTAAATAGTACATTACTGCAGCGGCCAGCAACTGAGGCATTGATGGACGAACGTGCAAATGTGGGCCCCGGCGTAGCCGAGGCACACATACGTGAGTCCATCAATGCCTAGTTGTGGCCAAGACTTGTATAGTACTTTTCTCAAACAATGTGCGAAAATCAAAAACACAATTTTACTTTTTAAGTTCAATGACGAATAACGAACAATAATAATTTTTCACGCGCCATAAAGTTCCTTTGTTTTTTTCAATAAACAGCTTTCTATTTGCAAAACAATTCGAAATTTAAATAAAACCTTTTATTAGTTACCTCCTTGGTAGCTATGTTTCGAAGAAAAAGGTCATTCCATTTTTAAATTACAGGACAGATATACAGAGTTTACATAGTAATTTATCTGGCCGCAAAACACAACAGATATGGATTTTCATACAACTTTTGCCGGCCGCTGCCCGAATATATCTGACCAGTACGGCAATTTTGATTTATCTCGAAGAAGATTGTCAAAATAATGCTCACATTTCCAAGCATGTTTGAGAAAAAGTATTTTTTTAATGTACTTTGCAACGCTTATACAAATCATTACAGGTATTAATTAAAGTTTGATAATAATAACAATTTTGACATTACAAGCACTTAAGTGTAAATGTCAATTAAAAATAACGAATTCACAGGAAAATGAAAACTTGCCCTTAAAACTGTAATTTAAAGCTGTCCTCAATTATAGGTATTTAGGCCATAAAATATTTGATGACTTTGGCATTCGATAAAAACGACGTTATCCTCATTTAGTTAAGGTTTAAGTAGATATTGAATGTTTTGGTACTTTTACAATTATAATCTATTTAGAAGTTCACATCAAGTCAAGATTTTTGTATGTCTGTACGGATGCGTTGAGTTTTGGCGGTCGATCGAGTGCGCAGACGAGGGGTTGGCGGGGGCGGCACAAGGGTGAGGGGGCCCTGACCTACTTCTGCGGGCCCCCTTCCGTCCCGTATCCCCTTTCTAGTACGCACGAGGTCACTGTACTGCAGTTGCAAGCACCCGAATGCTGCAGAGTTGAGTGGACTTATCCCGTACAATGTACCCATGGATATTGCAATTTGCTTTATTTATAATTTTAGACATACAAATACAATATTTTTATTTCGTAATAGAAAATCGGAAGTATTCAAAGAAGAACGAATTCCCTATCTATCTGAGTAAGAATGTCTTCAGGGGAATAAGATAAAGGGATTGTATTAATAATGGGATGGGATAAAAGTCTCACAATAAACCTTATCAGATCGACCTTCGCGTGGTCCTTGAAAATCACCGTCATTAATTAATGACGATAGGGCAACTGACCTGTTTTCATCCTCACCTGTCATTGTTCACTGATACCCCGTCAGCGTATACCAATAACGCAAGCGGGATTACATTTACACTTTCAACCCATTTAAAATAATAATTTTGATCAATGACTTAATTGAGTGAGTATTATGCCATCATTTTCTCTCCGCTACCGGCTAAGAATTATTGCGATGAGAAAGAGTACTTAGTTGTGCAGGGTTATTTCATCACAATTACTCAGAAGTTAATTATTTGAGTGAATTTAAACGAAAATGTTTCATAATATAGATACAAATAAGTATAAAATAAAATAAAACGTTAGTCACGTTATATGCAGACAATAGATAGAAAAAGACAGGCTTCTTTTTATCCCAGTCACACAGTGTAACCCATTCACATGAATCAAGTTACAGTAAAAGTAAGGTGCTTATAAATGTATGAGTAATTGAATAGAAAAAAAAATTCCAACTTTAAATCCAACATTTAATATATGATAAATGACAGGCATTAGAAGAATTGTTGTAAAATAAAAAAAATTACACGGAAATCGCACAATTCATTTAAAACATCTAAAATTCGTCTTAAAATCATGCAATGTAGACTAAAGGACACTAAAAAATTCTAGTGATTTTTATGACGAGTAGAATACAGTTTTCGCAGATTTTGAACCTTAAAGAAGGTGTTCTTTTGACGTTATATATACGGGACGGATAACTTCTGCAGTTCTTGTAAATCTGTGGCCTAAATGATGGACCCACAATTAGAGAGGAGGCTTAATACCAACATGTGGTTCCGTGGCCGTAACAGCCAAATTTGCTATCACCATTCGTGAATAAAAACACGATCATAAGCCTGTTCATCTGCAAAACAATATCAAACATTAAACAAATATCCATGATAACTTTATATTTACCTAGTCTAAGTGAGAATAGACTTGTATAATAGAAACTTTCTCTTATCGTTATTCGTTAATATATTTATTTTATTATTTTTATTTAAAAAACAATATTTATAATTATAAATAGAAGTTATATTAAATAATAAATATTAAAACTATTTAACTTGATTTTAACTTTATAAAGTTATGTTGACTCTTCTTGAAATGTTTAAATTTATAGTGTTCCCTAAATTTAATACGTATTATAGGAGAGGGATTGTTAGTAGTGAGATCCAAAAGAGCCATTACTAACAATATATCCTAACAGGTCTACTTCCACGTGGTTCTCCCTGGAAACCATTATGTTCAATTTTTTTATGAATTCATCATGATAGGCC